CTTGAATAAAATGAACTTATTTCTGATTTTGCTGCCTCAGAGTGTCCTCGTCTCAAATGTTTGCTTTCTACAATTGTACCCGTCACAAATTGTCCCTGTCTCAAATTTTCACCGTCTCAGATTTGCGTTGTAATAATTATTCCAGTGCCAAATTTTCTGCCTCAAAGTATCCTTATCCCCAAAATATCAGATAAACTATGTCACCATCAACAGTTCCCCACAAACTCCGAAAATCCTCACGTAAACGGTTCAACGGCACAATCAAATTCCTTGGTTCCGATTCCTGCCCTCTTGATCGTCAAACGTCAGCGGCGGCAACCCAGTATTGGACATGAGATGCACGGGCAACGCGGGAGGCGGTCTCCTCACATCCAACGGTGGCGGCAGCGGAGCAAATAACCCACCTTGTTGCGCATACTGAGGACCGCCGCCAGCGTTGACAGGGTAATTACGCACCGGCGACGGGGCTTTCCATTGAACTTTCACAACTGCAAAAGGATAGAGAGAGTCAAAATGCACAAAAATTGACAAAGCAAGAATTTTTCAATTACCCGTAGAAATGCCGGTCTTCTTTGTTTTCTTTTTGGACAAAGACGTTGACAATTATGATGACGAACTAGACAAGGACCAACTCTTATTTGAACCACTTTTATCTCTGCTCCCCAACAAAGAGTAACTACTTGATCAAGAAGACCTGAAAAAAGGAAAGCTTGGTCAATTCCCAGAATAATCGATCTGTACGCCCGCGTTCGTTTCTTACATACTAAGCATCCTTCCTTTTGTCAATCAGTCCCAGAACTGAAACTGTTCTCAATACAGTGCATAAATGTATGATGAATTAGTAAGCTTACGTTCAAATAAAACCGTTTTGTCAAATTTAATTTTGAATAGCCCTTCAACCAGATCCAAATTTATTATTATCATACTGTATTTTCTTCCATGATGTACCTGAGTAGGATATTCGAAACTAAGAGACACAAGACTTCAAATTTCGATACAATTTCAACCTGAATTCAAATGTGGACATGATTTGAAACCTGAATTCAATTAATTTTC